GAGCTCCACCTAAGTGTGCAGAGTGAAATCACTGACTTAAAGCAGTAGTATGGGCCTCTGTCTACAGGCAGCCTCCTTGGAGGAAGAGGAGCAGGAGGAGGTTGTAGATGTGGAGACATTTTTCCTCTAAGAATAATGAATTGCCCTATGGTAGTGGCATCACCTGATTATCAAAATAGAAAAATAAAATGAGCTGAGATAACATCTGCAACAACTTAAAACAATTTCCAAGTTCAGTTTATTAACTCAATTTGACTGCTCAGACTGTCTGATTAGACTTAACACAGTAACATTCAAAGCTATTTTAAACTGTAAACATTGGTCACTTGTCAGCTTCATCAGCTTATTCCTTTTCAAAAAGGTATATGCATACCTGCCAACTTTTCAAAAAACCTTGGAGTGAGATTTTGTCGGGTGACCAAAATGATGCCGCGCACGCAGCCACACAAGTTGGTGGCTCAGATATCAGAGGATTGGAATTCATTTGATGTTGTACCCATGTTGTACCCTGCATTCTGGTGGTTTGTGGGGAGGTCCAAAGCCGCTGATAGGGGCAGCCTACTGGAGATGGACAATATTGGTTACATTCTGAGAAGCAGACATAGCTGAAGGTCCACCCCCAGGAAATTTTGGATTAAGTAGATGTGATTTCCTGCATTCTAGTGGATTTTTGGGTGGTCTGCTAAAGATGTGCAATACCTGAACTTATTCTCATTCTTGTTTGGCATTATGACTCGTAGGGCCTTCTAGACTTGAGCTGAACATTCAACCAGAAAACTATTGTTGTGCCTAAATGACTGCCTGTATCACAATAAAGCCTTATTCATAGACCAGTGTTTAAGATTTGGCCTAGGTACCTGTAGGTTGATTGATATTTTGATTAGAATGGTATTAAACTGTGAGTAAATAAACAATGCAATGAGCTGATATTTTGAGCATGCAGTATACCACGAGGTTAACAAGGTGCTCTCCTGCTGCTTGTTATGACAGCTTTCACCACACTAAATCATGTTCACACGCTCAAACAGATCATTTATATCAAGATTTTAAAGTTTAAGAGTGAGTACTCAATTGGATGACATTTCCTTGTTACATACCTATTCTCAGCTCAGATCAAGGACCAAATTTTGATTTCAGAGGTGGGGAGGACACAAGTATTTATTTATTTTTTTAAAGTTATTTTTTTGGCTTTGTTATCTTTATTTATAAAGACAGCTGTAGGGAGACAGTGATGGTGGGTGGAGAGAGAGGGGATGACACGCAGCAACTCTACCGACTGCGCTAACCAGCGGGCGCCCCCATTACACAATAGTAGTTCTTCTAGTTTTCTATTGCTACTTTTACGTTTACTGTTCCCTTTTTTGGTTTGCCTGGTTGTAAAGCATGTAAATGTAGCTATAGAATAAACATTTTGGACACACACACACACGCACGCGCATGGACACCGATTCAAACGTGAATGTAAATGAAACCTCTGATATTACCTGGGCAACTCCAGCAGACCGGTGTGCAAGCAAGATGGAGTGACAGCGGGGATGGCCAATCACACAAGAAACGGCAGAGCCATTCGAGGAGCTTGTGGGCGGGTCTAAACTAAGGGGCTTCAGCTTGAGCGGCTGTTTTCCGCTTGGTCCTAGTGCTTGACGAGTCTCTGTTTACTATAGCGTAACATTGTTTTTGGACGGTAAAAGCTGCAGGGGACCGAAACGACCCAAGATCGGATTTTTTTTGCGTGAGAAATTGGGTGTGTGGTGTGAGTGCGTGTGAAAACAGGCAAAACTGTGTGTCACACGGCGAAAGCGTGAGAGTTGGCAGCTCTGTATATGACTTTATAACATTTGTTTTTTTTTGTGCAAAATTTGCAACAACATTGCTTATATTTAACGTTTGTCTGTTAGATGTTCTGTGAGTTGTTGGAGGTTGTCTATAATGTCAAATATACATCTCCCGATCGTGTCATTGGAAAGAGGGACAGTATTCAGTGTCTCAGCACTTTTCTCACCTAGCATGATTGTGACCATGTCCAATGCTGCCGGAGTATTAGCTCCTCTGCTATCGTGTGAGGTTTTTTGCACCTTGCAATGTGGTGGGCAACTTTGTACGAAGCTTTTTAATTTGCTGATGCCGTGCTCACAAAATAACCGGCCTGTTGGCGATACGCATTAAGTTTTCAATGAAAAAAGTCCAGTGGCTTATTGACATAAATAGGGTGTAAGGTCTCCAGGTGCCGTCTTAATTTGTTTGGTTTCATGCTGTCCGCTGCCAGTTTTTAGGCATTAAACACACACAGGTCTTACCTCATTTCCGACCGTATTCACGGTAAACCCAGGGCTATGTAGGCTTCATCGTATTTCCTGGTCTTATTAGGTTTATTCCGTTTACCGTCACTTGCTTTTCTTGCCTCTGACGCCTCTGACGCCTCCTCCGTTTTTTCTTTTCACTCCTGTCAGAAACTTCTCCATATCTCCTCCTCCGTCAGTCCCCCCTGCCTCTCACGCCGGGCGCGCCCCACTATTTGAGAAGTACTGCCCTATGGGCAGCCAGCACTTCCAAATGTGAGTCAGCCTGCCCTTTTGAAGAGTTAATGGGCCATGCAGCCAAAGCTCTGGATATGCCCTTCCCTGACAATTCTTTGGCACTCAGTTTACACTTTGAGTAGACTAGGGAGGTGTGACCCACTCTGGCGCAGGTGCCCCATCTGCCTGACTTTAAAGACCTAGGGTGTAAACACTTTAACTGACCGGTGGCTACACAAATCTTCATCTCCAGTGGATCAGGCCTTCGCATACTAAACTACCCAAAGCTATAGCCATGCAAACCCGCCTGGTTAATACTGGGGCTATTGTGTTCCTCTATCTTCATCACCTGTCCTGTCAGGTGCCATATTGTTTTGGGGAGTCTGGAATTGTGGGTTAACTTCAGGCAGCTTCCTCCTCCCTCTCCTTCATTATGAAGGAGCCAGCAGATGCTGCAGGCTTTAGCATCCTTTTGGGTGGTTTGGTGCCACCTGTGGCTGTCCCAGTTACAGCAAGGGGATTGGGACTGTCTACTGAAGTTGCCCATAGACCCTTCAGCTAGGGTTGTGTCCACCATGACCCAGGTCTATCATTTGCAGTTTTCTCACAAACCTTCTGTAATGAGTTTGGCAACTTTCACTACTGTAACTGATCCTCACCATGCAGAAATAATGTGGGCAGAACTGTCAATACTTGAAGGTCATAAGGGAGGTGGAGTGTGGAAATCACCACGCTGGGTTTTTCTCCTGCTATTTCCTGGTCCCCAAGCAGGACGGGGGCCTTTGTTCTATTCTGGACCTCAGGGGGCTCAGCAAGTTTCTTCACCCTCTGAGAGGCAGGATGTTGACAGTTCTCAGGTTAAGGCAAGCCATCACTGCAGGGGACTGGTTTTCCACCATCGACCTCAAGGACACCTACGTCCAGATTCCCATCTGGCCTGGCTCTGTGCCTGAACTACAAAAGAGCAAGCTCCAGCCTTCCTAGGTGACAACGTTTCTGGGTTATTGCCAGAGAGGCCTGCCTTGGCCACTTCCAGCAGCAATCTCTGATGGATGAGGGGATTTGCCATCGACTCATGGGCCTGATGGCAGCCAAGGTGCAAGCAGTCAGTATTGGAGAATACACACCGAATGAGGATGGCTGCTTAATAATTTCCTGGTTCCTTAGAGGTGCACAGAGGTTTACAGTTCACAGGACTAGATCTTCAGTCCTGCCATGGGACTTGGATTTAGTTGTATAAAATTCCCCGTCGGAGGTTGCACTTCCATAATGACTTTATTGTGTGTAAATAGTTAATCCCTCTCACTCAGTTGGTCCGCTCTGCAATTGTTATCTATCCTTTGGTACAAAAGTGTGCGTCGATGACACTGTAAGTTGTTGTGTAAGTACCTAACGTATGTTTATTTGATCAACTGTGTTCTCGGTTGAGATAGCCTGCATTGCTGTGACAAATCATTGAGCTAGCGTACCCGAAGCAGCTCCAGACAGTCTAGCATAGTCACATGTTTTTCTACCATGTTAAGTTTCATATTTTACGTTTGAAACTTCCCAATTTAATGCCATTGTATAGTAATTATCATTCTGTGTTGCAGATATCACAAACCTTATATCTAACATACCCATCTTCTGTTCAGGATCTTTACCTCAACGCCTGGCCTGAGTTTGTACAGCTTACCACTGGTGGTTTTACGGACAGGTACTGTCTGTATCCAGAAGCTTACAATCTGGATCTTTTTTTTTTTTTTCATTTTGATATGATATGATATGCAAACAAAGAATGAAAGAATCAGGTGGTCTGAAACAGAAAAATGTATATGCGATTTTGTATTCTGTAAACATACATTGATTTTCTTCATGTATTATTTAATTACCCTGATGTTAGAACATGTAAATGTGGTGTATTGACAACAGCATGAAAAATAATGTATATTAGAATTAGAATATCCAGGGCTCCCGGTTAGCTCAGTGGGTGGAGCTGGCGACCCATGTACCGAGGCTGAGTCCTTGCTGCAGCGGCCCAGGGTTCGAATCCGACCTGTGGCCCTTTGCTGCGTGTCATCCCCTCTCTCATCATAAAGGCAATAAAAGCCCCCAAAAATATATAAAAAAATAAGATAAAATAAAAAGAATTAGGATATCCAGGTACAACTCTGTGATGACCCCTCCCCTGGTTGGTCTATATCCCTTTCACTCACTACACTACTGATAACACTGATGTACATAAATCTGTATTACTTTGTCTAGTATGAACATTGATTAAAGTTATTTTGCTTTAAACATTTGACTGTCTGTGGGGTCTCCCTTGTTTTGAATGGATGGTGAGTAGGTTGATGACAACTTACAACGACAGAACCAGGACATTTAATATGCTCAGGTGTCCATGAAATGGTAAGAATTCAGCAGTTGGTAGGCAATGAAAATTTCCTTTATCATTACATCACAGAATGAAATACTTTTTTTTTTTTTGGTTATGGGGGGGTGCAAGATAAGTCAGCTATATGATGCAAAACTGCAGTCAGAAAGCTGCCAGAGCTCAGCAGCATCTTGTCTCCTCTTCTCTCTGTGATTATGGAGACCCTGGAAGAAGCTGAACTCTGCTTTCCACAACTACTCAACACCTCCTGCAGGAAGCCAGTGCAGCATCGTGCTGATACCATATTCCTTTACATCCTGCTGTCTTGCATCTCTTTGCTCACTGTGGCTCTGAACCTGCTGGTCATCATCTCTATCTCCCACTTCAGGTATAAAGATAAACTTAGAGGCATAACCTAAAATACTATCAAGCACTTAATTTTACAGGAATTTAGGACATTAAGGGTATTGTTACAATAAGGCATGAAAATGTTTCACTTTTTAAAACATTTTAAACAGTTTAAATGTATTTTGCATTCTCTTCTCTATTATAGACACATGTACATTGAAATATAAAACTGGTACTTAAACTGTGTTAGCATCTCCAGGATTTTTGATGCATGTCCTAGCTGTTTAAATGTTACTATGTGCTATAAGGTATTATCTGGACAAAATTAGTTTATTTGACTTTTCGTAATGTTACAGATAAAATATTTTTACAAATTCCATAACTTTTTCATATAATGTATTAAGTTCTTTCTCCAGGCAGCTCCACACCCCCACCAACATTCTCATCCTCTCGCTGGCTGTCTCAGATTTCCTCGTTGGCCTCCTGCTGATGCCTGTTAAAATCCTCTTCATAGGGGGCTGCTGGTTTTTGGGGAACTTGATCTGTGCACTATTTTACTATGCCTCTTTTATCCTTACATCTGCCTCAGTAGGAAACATGGTGCTCATATCAGTTGACCGATATGTGGCCATTTGTGACCCTTTGTGTTACCCAACCAAAGTCACTCAGAAAAGAGTTCAAATCTGTGTTTGTCTGTGTTGGGCGTGTTCAGTGTTCTATAATGGTATGATACTGATTGACTTTCTGAAACATCCAGATAGATTTAATTCCTGCTATGGAGAGTGTGTAGTTGTAATTAACTTTATAACAGGAACTCTTGATGCCCTGTTGACCTTTGTTGGCCCCATTGCTGCAATCATAGTTCTGTATATGAGAGTATTTGTGGTGGCTGTGTCTCAGGCTCGAGTCATGAGGTCTCATATTGCAGCTGTTACACTCCAGGGTTCAGTCAGTGTAACTGCTAAGAAGTCTGAGAGAAAAGCAGCTAGAACCCTTGGTGTTGTTGTGGTTGTTTTCCTAATATGTTTTTGTCCTTACTTCATTCCATCTCTTGTGGGCCAGGACATGTCAACCACTGTGGTATTTTCAATATTTGGGGTCTGGCTACTTTATTGTAACTCCTTTTTTAATCCAATGGTCTATACTTTTTTCTACCCCTGGTTCAGGAGATCTATGAAACTCATTGTTACATTTCAGATACTGCAGCCTGACTCCTGTGATGCCAACATACTGTGCCCAGATTGTAAAATATGATTGAGTCAAATTGGACTGCACAATATTTATAAAAACATTATATTATGACTATTTTTCACTGATATTACAATTGCTGTCTCACAATTTTCATTTTCACTGAAAGAAAATTGTTTTAATTGACTTCACAATTTATTCTTATTTAATACATTCTTTATTTGTTTAAAAGGGAATTATTGCTTGATATATTGTTAGCCGTTACATATACTGACTGTAATGTGCATCGACAGCATAATGAATGGATTTATGATTAATTTCTATTTACTGTTATACTTGTATTGCAGAAACCATATCAAACTCAGCTTTAGTAAAGAATTGAATGGGATACTTTGAGTCCATGTTATCATTGCTCCCCAGGGTGAAATAGGAATATGTCTCTGCTGCCTTCTCTGAATAATTCTTTCTATGGTCCTTCAAGCCAGATACTTATTCTACCTTGGTGACATGGATCAAAACAAGGAGAGGCAATGCACTGCAGTTGCAGACAGCACCACTCCAGACGTCAAATTCCATCCCATCTTCTTCCATATCAAGTGACACTACCACAGTCTATTACAACTAGCACAACCTCCAGCCCCTGTTCAGTCACCACAACAACCTCTACCTGTACAGCCTGCTTTCCAGCCTCTGTGTATGCAGTTACAACAGCCAGTTGCCATTCAACAGAGTGCTTCTGTGCAGTCGCTGTACTTACTTCTGCTCGTACAGTCTGCTTACAAATATTCACAGTCACCATCTCAATACCTACCTGGGCATCCTGTTTACCAGGCTCCAAGCAGTCACTGCTCCCTTGGGGTATAAGTGTCCTTTTACCATGCCTGGACAGCCCACATATCAGCTGCCCCTAGCTCAGCAACCCCTTCAGCCAGTTCCGGTTCCCACACTTACTGATCTCACTACAGATAGTGAAAGAGAGTTTACCGACTTTGGCTCTCAGTAACTTTTTGGGTCCTCACACTGAGCTGTCAGAGCACAATAAGTACTGTGCACTGATAGAACACCTGGTCTTGGAATAAGCATGACATATAGCCCAGGCTTGCTGCAGCTATACTCAACATGCCGGACATAAAGCCAGCTTTTCAAAAGTTTGCCCTTAATGTTGATCTCCTAGTTAGCGTGCTATTATCGCTCAAGGGTCCACTGGGAATGGAACTGACTTGCAATGGGCATGTGGACCAACTGCTAAGCAAATTATCGAAACAGTACAGTGACAGCTTTGTTGAGCATCTGCAGGTTTAGGGGCAGGTTACAGACATCTAGTCTTAACTCCTACAACTTGCATGATCTTACACAATGGTTGAGGTCTAAAGCTGAAGCACAACAGTTGTCTGCAAAATGGTTCAGCAGCACCAGGTGGTATGGCAGCCAGCTCTACGGAAGGATCACATGCCTACTTTTAGGAAGCGTCAGCCAGCCACTGTTTTGGATGCCCCCTCAAGTGGAGGTGGAGGGAGAAGGGAGGGTAATGGCCAAATATTTTCCTTATGGTCTCTGAATAGTTTTCATATACCAACTTCTAATCGACCTATATCAATTTCAAGATTAAATTAACAACTTCTGGCTAACCAGACCCAATTTAAGCCATACCCATGCCCTGCTTAAGTACTGCCCATTTTGTAGAATACAAAAAATGTAGTTGGTCCAAAACACCTATACACCGAAACACACATGGGTGTGGTCAACACATTGTTACAATTCAGGTGATCAGTGGCTGTAGCACAATGCTGGCCACAGCCAGGTACAGTGCATGAGAGAAGCTGAATGGCATTACTTGTAGGAATCAGAATCAGGTTAAATAATGGCCAATTTAATTTACTTGGTTGTCCTGTAGCAAATGTTACCAGCATCAGACCTAGGGGAAATCTGGACCAGCAGCAAGGGTTACAGAGGCTAGGGAGCACTGTGTAGCCAATATATAAACTGTGGATTGAAAAAGAGATGACGAAGCTTAGCGTCTTGCTCATGTTCATGCTTGTTTATCTCTTACACATTTACAAACAATTTCCTGTCACTTTTTCAAGCTTTGTGATTTAAGTGCATGTCAAATTCATACTAAAATATTTTACAAATTAAACAACAAATGCTGTAACTAAACTACAATAAATAATATAAAACATTGTGTCTAAATTGAAACGAGTTTACATAAATTCAAAATGAAGGTACACATTACAAATAAACTTAAACTTAAACACGTAAAATACTAATATGTATCACAATCTTAAAACACAATTACTCTATTCACTCATATATTAACACATACAATCCTGCTAACAAGCATTCAGCACTAATGTGACATACACAAAGCCTTTCCCAACATTCCTACATCATACTCTCTTATACACATTTGCACTTCACACATATTTTCTCTTGTTACAGTATGCTAATGTCATTTAAGAATGATGACTCTCATGGGAATAATTCAGCAGTTGGTAGGCAAGGCATCTGATAATTACATCACTACTTTAAATATTTTTTGGGGGTTATGGGAAAGGGGGGAGGAGCAAGATAAGTCAGCTTTTTGATGCAGAACTTTAGTCAGAAAGCTGCCAGAGCTCAGCAGCGTCTCGTCTCCTCTTCTCTCTCTGATTATGGAGACCCTGACAGAAGCTGAACTCTGCTTTCCACAACTACTCAACACCTCCTGCAGGAAGCCAATGCAGCGCCGTGCTGATACCATATTCCTTTACATCCTGCTGTCTTGCATCTCTTTGCTCACTGTGGCTCTGAACCTGCTGGTCATCATCTCTATCTCCCACTTCAGGCATAAAGATACACTTATAACCTAAAATATAATGTCAAGCACTTAATTTTAGAAGGGGAAAAAAAGGGATATTGTCACATTAAAGCATGGAAATATAACCATTTGAGTTTTTAACAATTTACATTTTTAGCATTTAAAATAATTGCATAGTATTACTCTGGTTACTACAATTAACTCTGCAGCCATCAGGGAACGTATTGATGATATGAATGTTGTAAGCTGACTGCTCTCTAACCTTCCCCTCTACTACAGACACATGTATAGTAAAATACAAAACTGGTACCTGTACTGCATTTTGTACTGAATTTTAATGAGTAAGTCCGAGCTGTTTAAAAATGTTGCTGCATGTGCTGTACTGTATTATGTGGACATAATTAGTTTATTTTTCTGTTCATACTTCTACAAATAATAATATATTCAGTGAGGATTTTCTTTTTCTCCAGGCAGCTGCACACCCCCACCAACCTTCTACTCCTCTCACTGGCTGTTTCAGACTTCCTCGTAGGCCTCCTGCTGATGCCACTTCAAATCCTCTTTGTAGGGGGCTGCTGGTTTTTGGGGAGCTTAATGTGTGGACTATTTTACTATGCCTCTTTTATCCTTACAACTGCCTCAGTGGGAAACATGGTGCTCATATCAGTTGACCGATATGTGGCCATTTGTGACCCTTTGTGTTACGCAACCAAAGTCACTCAGAAAAGAGTTCAAATCTGTGTTTGTCTGTGTTGGACCTGCTCTGTGTTCTACAATGGTGTAATACTGATTGACTTCTTTAAACATCCAAATCAATTTAATTCTTGCTATGGAGAATGTGTACTTGTAATTAACTTCATAACAGGAGCTGTTGATGTTCTGTTGACCTTTGTTGGCCCCATTGCTGCAATCATAGTTCTGTATATGAGAGTATTTGTGGTGGCTGTGTCTCAGGCTCGAGTCATGAGGTCTCATATTGCAGCTGTTACACTCCAGGGTTCAGTCAGTGTAACCGCTAAGAAGTCTGAGAGAAAAGCAGCCAGAACTCTTGGTGTTGTTGTGGTTGTGTTTCTAATTTGTTTCTGTCCTTACTTCATCCCATCTCTCGTGGGCCAGGACACGTCAACCACTGTCGTATTTTCAATATTTGGGGTCTGGCTACTTTGTTGTAACTCCTGTTTTAATCCAATGGTCTATGCCTTTTTCTACCCCTGGTTCAGGAGATCTATGAAGCTCATTGTTACGTTTCAGATACTGCAGCCTGACTCCTGTGATACCAACATACTGTCTCAAGATTGCAAAATATAATTGAAAAAACTTGAACTGCACAATATTGGAAAAAAAAACCATCATATTGTGATTATTCTTTAACAAATGTTGCTATTTTGATTTTCACCGAAAAAACTGTTAAAATTATGATAATGTAATATTTGTTCGGGTCTAAACAAACATGTTTTCTTACATTTGGGATGTAGAAACTGAGAGAAAAACGGAACACTTTTCTCTATAAAGTATAATCCAGTTTCACCAAAATCTGAAAATAAAGTTATAAAAGTTCTGTGGTTTTGTATAGTAACAAAAACACTTCTTTCTAACATAATTATTGTCTCATTTGTGGTTCAATAAAAAGTCAATTAAAGTCAGTGCCATATCGCTATTTTACAAGTAAATGTAGAATCCATTGTATGCTATTGAGCACACCAGCAAGAAGACGACGGTGATGACCAGCACTGTGTGCTTCAGGGAAGTTGGACAGTCAGAAGCAACTGGGCTTTTAGGGAGTGGGCTAAAAGAGATGGGTTGTTTCAGACAGAGGATGAACTGAAGGACCGTTATACGTTAAAAAAAGGATATTTTTGAATTATGCTGCTTATGCTACTCTAGTGGAGTCCCATAAAAAAATATTGAGCTGAGAATGAGCACATAAGTCCCCTTTAAGCTTTAATAATATAATTTGGAATAACACATATGACTGTACAGGCTACTCTCCTGGGTGACTGGGTGCAGGTGCAAATTGGGTGCAGGTGCAAATTCGCTTTAAATTTAGGGCATGATCACAAATTGGCATGGTCAACACATTTTTACAATTTACAAATACTAATATATTCAGTGATGATTTTCTTTTTCTCCAGGCAGCTCCACACCCCCACCAACCTTCTCCTCCTCTCACAGGCTGTCTCAGACTTCCTCATTGGCCTCCCGCTGATGCTGCTTCAAATCCTCCTCATAGTGGGCTGCTGGTTTTTGGGGAGCTTGACATGTGCACTATTTTACTATGCCTCTTTTATCCTTACATCTGCCTCAGTAGGAAACATGGTGCTCATTTCAATTGATCAGGTGCTATTATCAGTTGACTTCATACTATGGTACTTTAGTGGAGTCCCATAAGAAAAATATTGAGCTGAGAATGAGCATATAAGTCCCCTTCAAGATTTAATCATATAATTTGGAATAACACATATGACTGTACAGGCTACTCTCCTGGGTGCAGGTGCAAATTCGCTTTAGATTTAGGGCATGATCACAAATTGGTGTGGTCAAGACATTTTTACAATTTAGGTGATCAGTGGCTGTAGCTAGATGCTGCCACAGCCAGGAACAGCGGAAGAGAGGCTGAATACCATTATGACTGTGAGGAATCAAAATGAGAAGGTGGAGCTTAAATAATGACCAATTTAATTACTAAGACAATTTATTTTGTGTCAACCATACAACCTTTTGTCCTTTTATGGAAAAGACAAAATATGTAATTGTTAATTTGTGTAACCAAAATTTTTCTATAAACACATATATATAGGAGGGATATATAGGAGAGTTTACAGGCTTTTGTCTGTGATGAGGTGGGTCACCTATGAACCAGATCCAACAACTGTTGAGTCACTTTAACCCCCTCAATCACCTACTCCAGCAGAAGCACCTGCTCCTCCTGTTCAGCCTTCAGTTCAACCAGTTTGAGCTACAGTAGCTCATCTGTTGAATCGGACCACACGGGCCAGCCTTCACTCCCACGTGCATCAGTAAGCCTTCGCCGCCCATGACCCTATACATGTGTCTGCAGTAGAGGAGAAGGTTAGAGAGTATGCAGTCAGCTTCCAACATTCATGTCATCAATACATTTATAGACTGCAGACCACTTTTGATAGGTACTGACCACTGCAGACTGGGAACACCCCACAAGAGCCGCAGTTTTGGAGATACTCTGACCCAGTCGTCTAGCCATTACAATTTGGCCCTTGTCAAAGTCGCTCAGATCCTCATGCTGCCCATTTTTCCTACTTCTAACACATCAACTTGAGGACAAAATGTTCACTTACTGCCTAATATATCCAACCCACTGACAGGTGCCATGATAACCAGATAATCAGTGTTATTCACTCCACCTGTCAGTGCTCATAATCTCATGGCTGATCAGTGTAGATCCAGAGACAGTCCACGACCAAACGCTCCTTCAGGAAATGGTCTCCTGAGGCAGCGGAGGCTCTGAGGGACTCCTTTGAATGTACTGACTGGAGTGTCCAGCAGGAAGCACATGGTGAGGACATCGAGGGGGTCACACACTACACTACTGACTACCTGAACTTCTGCATGGATGTTGTACATCTGTAAAAAACTACTACAAATGTTTAACCAGTCTGTGGTGGCCAGCGTCCTCTTTTATGCTGTAGTTTGCTGGGGAGGAAGCAGCAAGAAGAGAGATGCTGGTCGACTGGACAGACTGGTGAGGAGAGCTGGCTCAGTAGTGGGCACAGAGCTGGACTCTCTGATGACAGTGGCAGAGAGAAGGACCCTGGACAAACTGCTGTTCATACTGGACAACACCCACCACCCTCTGCACAACACCTTCTCCAGGCAGAGGAGTGTGTTCAGTGGCAGACTGCTGTCCCAGTCCAGCTCCACCAACAGACTCAAAAACTCTTTCTTCCCCCTGGCCATCAGACTGTACAACAGCTCTCAGTAAAGGCAGGGAGGACAATAGATAATAGACAATGGACAATTTCTACCTCCATTTGCACTGTTTTACTTCCATTTGCACTCCACTCCATTTGCACTGTTTACTGTTTGCACTGTTTACTTTAGCTGCTGTTAACTTTATATATTATAAATATATAATATTTTATGTTTTAAAAAATGTTTCATTTTATTCTTAAGGTTAGGGTTTTTAATTTGAGTTTAATGTATGTTTATTGTATGTAATGTATGTTTTGTATTTTGTATGCTACTGGATACTTATCTATCTATCTATCTATCTATCTATCTATCTATCTATCTGTAAATCCTTAAAAAGCAAACAAACAAAGTGACCACATGCTGCTTTGTGGGCCATTTGGTGCAGTCATGTGTAAGAATGGAAACTGTTTAACTGTTTAGTTTGCAACTGGTTCTCAACTGGAAAAGGTTTTTCATGTCACCTTAATTTGAATTCAAGTTTTCTTAGTCAAAGAAAAACCCTGCATAGCACTAATGTGATTCTAACTTCTGGCTAGCAGTTAAGCAGTGGAATATTCCTGAACGTTAAATCCACGAGTTTGATGCCAGACTGCATATCAATGCCAGTCAAAGTTTGGAACCGATTCAGAACATTTTTTATTTATTGAATTTTTTTGTTCTGCTTCCTGTCTACACCATCAGCGTATGCCCAGTGTACGTAAATGGTCATGTAATATGTGTCCTCAATTGTGCTAATATGGACCGGGATTGAATGAATGTCATCTATAGTGTGTACAAATTTCACATATTACATTAACTTTTGGGTGAGATCTGAACACAGAGTGAGCCAGATTACGTCTCCAGATGTGATGGGTCTGATTGCATACAATTTACACCATGTATTAACAGTCATTTTCCCTTCTCCAAATATAATATCTACATACAACTCTCAGAACCAGGCCATTGTAGTTGCTTAGGTGTCCATGAAATGGGAAGAATGTAAAAAATTCTATTAAGCTGTTGGTAGGCAAGGTAAATGAATTTGATCATTACATCACAGAATCAAATCAATTTTGTTTGGTTATGGGAGGAAAGAGGGAGGGGCAAATAAGTCAGCTTTATGATGCAGAACTTTAGTCAGAAATCTGCCAGAGTTCAGCAGCGTCTCGTCTCCTCTTCTCTCTGTGATTATGGAGACCCTGGAAGAAGCTGAACTCTGCTTTCCACAACTACTCAACACCTCCTGCAGGAAGCCAATGCAGCACCGTGCTGATACCATATTCCTTTACATCCTGCTGTCTTGCATCTCTTTGCTCACTGTGGCTCTGAACCTGCTGGTCATCATCTCTATCTCCCACTTCAGGCATAAAGATTCACTTAGAACCTAAAATATAATGTCAAGCACTTAATTTTAGAAGCGAAAAAAGGGATATTGTCACATTAAGGCATGAACATAGAATCATTTGAGTTTTTAACAATTTACATGTATTGCTTTTAGCATTTAAAATAATTGCATAGTATTACTCTGGTTACTACAACTAACTCTGCAGTCATCAGGGAACGTATTGATGATATGAATGTTGTAAGCTGACTGCTCTCTAACCTTCCCCTCTACTACAGTAGTTTACTACAGTAAAATACAAAACTGGTACTTTTACTTCATCTGTTTTCCAGGATTTTGAGCTATATAAAATGTTACTATGTGCTATACTGTATTATGTGGACATAATTAGTTTATATGACTGTTCACAATGTTACAGACTTCCATAACTGTTGCATATAATAACATGTTTAGTGATGATATTCTCTTTCTCCAGGCAGCTCCACACCCCCACCAACCTTCTCATCCTCTCGCTGGCTGTCTCAGACTTCCTAGTTGGCCTCCTGCTGATGCCACTTCAAATCCTCTTTGTAGGGGGCTGCTGGTTTTTAGGGAGCTTAATGTGTGGACTATTTTACTATGTCTCTTTTATCCTTACATCTGCCTCAGTGGGAAACATGGTGCTCATATCAGTTGACCGATATGTGGCCATTTGTGACC